TTTGTAAAAACAAAAACTCAATTCTGTCAATCCGCGTTCCACAAAACACAATTTTGTAAACACAAAACTCAATTCTGTCAATCCGGTTCCACAAAACTCAATTTTGTAAACACAAAAACTCAATTTGTAAACACAAAACTCAATTCTGTCAATCCGGTTCCACCAAAACCGATTTTGTTGCCCAATATGCAGGCACGACGCATGTAAGAAGGGCTACCATTGGTGCAGAAACTGGGCTGGAGAATGTGTCATGGTCGCCATCTTGTTTCTTCTAGAACAATGGTAGCCCTTCTTACAGCATGCGCGTGTGCCATATTTGGGCAACAAAATCGAGTTTTTGTGGAACCGGTGATTGACAGAATTGAGTTTTGTAGTTTACAAAAATTGAGTTTTGTGGTACAGGATTGACAGAAATTGAGTTTTGTGGGGACAGGATTGACAGAATTGAGGTATGTGTTCACAAAACTCATTTTTGTCAAGTGTAAGGTACAAAAATGCCTGTCCTGCATGGCGCCCCGTACACCGACGACATGACAATTAACCACAACACACCAACATACCGCAACACACCAGCAGTAAATTCATGAACACATCTAGCTTCACTTTTACCCCCCTCAGCTATAAGCTTTGATCTAGTATCAACCAAATAACAATTTTAACATTCGTGCTAAATATCTCGTACTTGCATGTATACTAATTATATTTAGATGTAGATACCTATTTATACACACACTAAAGATATGTAACATCGACCAAATATGTCACGAATAATTGTTAGGCATTTTAAAATGTCTTACACTATTGTGCTATTTTAAACAACGTAGTGGGTTACAGTAGATATACATATTTGTGCAGTCTGCTGGCATTTATCGAGGATATTACCCCGTGCCGATATCAGTACTTGTCGTTAATCTAGCTCGGGCAATAACGAGCTAATAATAGTGTGGCGCGAAATTCAGTATATTGGATTTATAGCCGCTCTCGTCCAAGATTATTATCTGCTGGTATGTGTTCCTGGTTATCGTTTTCTTTAGTAAATGTGTAGGGGGACACTCAACAAACCGAATAGCGTTTAGGAATGAAAAGAATTTTCTTTCGAGCTGATTATTGGCTTATTGAACGTGTGCACCTATTTGTGGCTCTTATATATGGGTGGGTTCTATATATATTTGGGTGGGTTCTATGTGAGTAATATATATTACCAAGAGCATATAAAGAAGCCTTCTTTATATGCTCTTGATATTACTCACATAGAACCCACCCAAATATTAGCCAACCTTAACTGACTCAGGCATTGATCAAAACAAGTCGGAAAATCCTATAAAATCAAGAGCCCTTGTCACGCCTTCTGTTTAGTTACACCCAGGCCTATATTGGAAACGGACTAATATTGGTGTGGTTGAGAGTACACAATCTAATGATTGAGTATTGCGCATCACGAACAGCGCGTTGACTGCGTTAGAATCGCGGGATATTAACATTATGTAATTACCGTTATACTTAATGAGTGGGATAATCTTGTTCGTTAACATTGGTAGCATGCTTGGGCACACGTTTGTCGAGTTTAGGTACCTCTTTAACAGAAGAGACCTAAGTAGAATGGCTCGTTATATATGCCAGCGGAATAGGTTGTGTTTATGGTGGTGTGTTATAAAAGACGTATACGTATATGAATGATTTTATTGATATAATATAAAAATAAAATTATAGCAACTAAGGGTCATATAAACCCATAAACAAAGTTGCCGTGTGCCCTGTCTAATAGTAGCACGATCTACCATACCCCACTGGAGGTAGCCACTATACCGCGCTCGAACGCACATTCCCACCCTGCACAACTTCCAAACATACTGAATGAACATTTATGTACGAACATAATATTGCGGCATTACCGCCGGAAATCGCCCAGCACATGGTAAAATTCTGTAATCCTATTTGGCACAGGCAAATAAATAACAGTGTAGCGTAATTGTCACAGCAGAGTCGAAGACCTACAATCTGTGACTGGTTAGCCTTTCATAAGAAATTAAATTATTTATTTGTAAATATGAATATATAGGCCTATTAATTTTTCCACCAACCACAGAATGTAGGTACACATCTCATCTTTACTCAGAAAATTAGTTCGTTTACATTGGGATATTTCGAAAAAATGAGTTTTATCGTATGCTGTTTATGTATGCTTCTTATGCTGCTTGAAACTATATTAGAATGTTTTATGAGATGTGATTCAAACATATAGCTTATATCTAGGACGGCCTGTCAGCTGAGTGAAACACGTAACCTGACGTAATGAATAAATACATGGGGCGATGATTTTCGATGCAGTTTTCTTAAACACATGAAGTTTAGCGATAAATTAATATAATCAGAATGAGGGTCAAACTTGGCTTCACCGACCAACCAACCAACAAGAATAACAATATAGGAGATCCGCAAGCATAATATGCAAGACACAATGCTACCGAATGCTATTTGCGTCTACTCGTGCACCAGGAAGACTGCATGGTGCTTGCATTTAAACTCCTACGCCCTACTCCTACTCTTTACCCGACGAGTGGCTACCATACCAATTCACACGAGCTTTGGTAAATAAACAGTCTGGAATTTTGTGTATAGATCAATTAAGCTTATACCAATAACTGAAGCCTAGATAATCTTATAGTCCGATCTTCGTACATATATTATGTATGTATGTATGTATTTATGTACGTATGTATGTATATATATATATATATATTATATAATGCGTGTTCACAGGAATCATTGAAATAGTTGTTCCGCGTGATCTCATATACGTACATCTAATGCGATTGAACGTAGCCTCTCATATTCTCGTAGCAACGGTGATAGTTCGCGACGTATGTCGGATAGTGTGGACTGGAGAGTATAGGCAGCGAAGGCGCTCGTGTATGTAATGTAGAGTAATAAATAGATGCCAGGAACTCATTAAAGCGACATAAAAGTCGAATAAAAAACGCCATTTATAAGTACAGTGATAAAGAATTTGAATGTAAACAGCCACTTGGCGAATGTGTTTCATGATGTCAATTATTTTTGCATTTGAAATTGAATTCGAGTCAGGTCGGCATCACGCTTGTCGCTGTACGTCTATGAGAATTATCAGCGCGCACAAAATCAATGGATTCGCCCAGCGTTGCTACAGACGGCTGATGTCGTACGCAACTGTTGCCTAGATCGGTTACGTGCGCATTATGACGGCCGTAACACAATATTTACCAAGCGTAGCAAACGTTAGTCGAATCGCTCGCCCGTATATTGTACTCAATTCACAGGGAATCGCGTAGTGGCAGCTTTTATACTACATGAGAGCCACTGATTTGCAAAGATGCACACCTGGATTGTATACGTAAGTACATCGTCGATTCTTCGTCGATTGTCTTGATTATATTATCATTTCCCGCTCAATTTTTAATATTATCAATGTGTTTAATAGCATTACTTATGTTATATTACGGGGAAGATGCGACAGCGTAGATGTTGTTACTGACGATAATAATCTTGCTGACGTCATTGAGTAAAATTCTAAATTCGTTTAAGGTATCATATACTCGTTCTTCTAGAGCAGTGCTTCAGAAACTATTTCAGTGTCATTCACCCTCGAGTCTTTATCACAAAATTTAATTTCCTTCTTATGTTTTTCACTCATTTGCATTCACCCCGACAACAATTTCATTCACTGCATTGGTGAATAATTCTACAGTTTAAGAAGCACTGTTCAGAGCTCTATCGTGTGCACTACTCACTCAAGGTCTCGTTCATAAATCGCGTGGCAGTGACTACGTGAATTAATTCCCTGTTTTCGTAGCGCTTATGTGTGTGTGTGTGTATACATGCAAGTACGAGATATTTAGCACGAATGTTAAAATTGTTATTTGTTGATACTAGATCAAGCTTATAGCTGAGCGGGTAAAGTGAAGTAGATGTGTTCATGAATTTACTGCTGGTGTGTTGGGTATGTTGGTGTGTTGTGGTTAATTGTCATGTCGTCGGTGTACGGGGCGCCATGCAGGACAGGCATTTTTGTACCTATACACTTGACAAAAATGAGTTTTGTGAACACATACCTCAATTCTGTCAATCCTGTCCCACAAAACTGCAATTCTGTCAATCTGACCACAAAAACTCAATTTTGTAAACGACAAAACTCAATTTGTCAATCCGGTTCCACAAAACTCGATTTTGTTGCCCAAATATGGCACACGCCATGTAAGAAGGGCTACCATTGTTCTAGAAGAAACAAGATGGCGACCATGACACATTCTCCAGCCCAGTTTCTGCACCAATGGTAGCCCTTCTTACATGTGTGCGCTGCATATCTGGGCAACAAATCGAGTTTTGGTGGAACCGGATTGACAGAATTGAGTTTTGTGTTTACAAAATTGAGTTTTTGTGTTTACAAAATTGAGTTTTGTGGAACCGGATTGACAGAATTGAGTTTGTGTTTACAAAATTGTGTTTTGTGGAACGCGGATTGACAGAATTGAGTTTTTGTTTTTACAAAATTGTGTTTTGTGGTACAGGATTGACAGAATTGAGTTTGTGTGTCACAAAATTGAGTTTTGTGAGACAGAATGAGCCCTGTCCTGCATGCGCGCCCATACGGTGCGCATAATTATTGGTGTTATGGCATTACAAGTCGTTGTAATATTGTTTACTGACTATGGTATGGGAAGAAGTGCGATGTATACACGCAGAGGCTCCAGTCTCAGTGATATCAAATTAACGGTGTTAAAGTTTTGCAGTTTTTCGAGAAATAACTTTTGAGCAATTACGAAAGGGGGGAAGGGGCGTTCCGCCTATAATGAAATACCTATAATAAAAATAAAATACATCGTATTTCTTTATTTATATTATACATAATTAGATATTCATTCGTTGGTGTTGCGCTGTTCTTACTTCCGTGCAAATCTTGTGATTTCTGTTTCAGTCATAATTATAATCGTAATTCGTAACTATTTTCATTGATTTATACGCAGGCTTTGGGAATTTCCATCCTCGCGACCCAAATCTGTACCAATGAAGGTGAATTATAATGCCATTATTTCCTCACGTTTCTTATTACATCACCCACAGCTATGATCTTATTTGTACTATTACCTTTACTATTAGTATTATTACCATCACAATTATTTGCTCATATTACTCACTATTTGGGGTAGTCATTATCAGGGATCATAATAATAACAATGTTTATCGATTATTGCTGACGACACATGTGAAGATCGGTATCAGGACACATGCACGTACGTGCACACACCAGCACACACACACACACACACACACACACACACACCACACACACACACACACACACACCACACACACAACAACACACACACACACACACACACACACACACAAACGCACGCACGCACGCGCGCGCACACGAATTAGTAATACTATGCCCCAGGACTATAATTATCTAATGTCGACACTATGCGCGCTAGCGCGAAAATGACCCTGACACAAGATTCGATTACTATAATGCGATTCGCGAGCATACATGAAAATATATTCACACATTACGAAAACATAGCTTTGACCCTATACTCAGTGGCGTCACTATAGAGTTGATGTCATACGATGCGGTAACTCATGGTGTCACCCCCATGGACCTCCTCCCGTACCAGGCCATACAGCAGCATTAGTAGGATAATGATTTTTGTACTAATGTTACTCGTAAATCCTAATTCCTATATATCACTGAATGTAATGGCAATAGTAGTGTCATAAACAACTAGCAAAATTAAAATTACAATGTCATATGCACCGCCGTGATGTATTTATATTTACATAGTTTCATGTGGTTAAAATGAAAATTTCATAGACAGTCATTTTGGCGTCAACCTCGCTGATGGTGTCTCCCGGTGCGTTCCGCATCCCCCTTGCGACGCCACTGACCCAACTGACTTAGCTTTACCGGTATATGTAACAGGTGTTGCAAGAACGAGCAGAGTCACACTGTCCCTCACAGACGTTACAGCGGCTGACATACCAGCTGGCACCGTTCAGGTGTTGAATGTTTACCCTCAGATGGCCTACGTCGTGAATTGTCACATGCACTGCACCAGGGATGACGAATGCGTGGTAGGTTTACTTCCAACGTGCGCTAAGTGTCACGTACGTGCCGTGCTCTTTCTGTGTCACAACTAAGGGTCTGCACAAACGTGGTCGTATTACTAAAGCTGAAGGGGTCGTTGTCGTATATTTAATACCCGAGGTGTCGGCGAGTATGTCGCCTACGCCTACTCCCTAACCATATCAGATAGTTACCCCGGGTACATATTATACGCCATTATACGACAACGACCCTTCGTGCATTACTAAATCCAGATGCTTTATCCTGGTTGTGTACGCGCACTTCAATAAACAACGATCGACGAGTCCTAGAAAAATCACTGTGTTGGCTGAAGTCGTGTTATACTCATCTTTCATCTTTGCCATTTACATGCATGTAATATGATAGAAATACGTGCATGAACTTGAAGATAAAGAAGAAAGGGAGCGAGATAGAGAAGGAAAGAAAAGAAAGAGAGGGGAGGGAGATGGTAAGGAAGAGAGATAGGCAGGTAGAAAGAGGAGGCGGGAAGGGCGAGGGAGGGCGAGGGAGAGAGATAGAGGGTGAGGGGAGAGAGAGAGAGAGAAAGAGAGAGAGAGAAAGAGAGAGAGACGAGAGAGAAGAGAGAGAGAGAGAGAGAGAGAGAGAGTAGAGAGAGAGAAGAAGAGAGAGAGAGAGAGAAGAGAGAAGAGAGAGAGAGAGAGAGAGAGAGAGAGAGAGAGAGAGAGAGCAACATAATATCAGGAGTGAATAAAAACAAATGTATTTTTATTCATTCCTGATAATGTTGAAAGCGAAATGCGAATGTCATATACCATATAGTATTATTAGTAACGCGTTTTTTCTCAACCCAGTTTTAATACCCCAGTAATAATCTGCAGTGCTTGCTTGACTCAATATATCTCGAGGTGCTGTGACAAGACCAACCGCTTGTTTTTACCATGCCATATAAATATATATAGAGTCGCTATATAGTCTAACTAGGATATTATTTCTATGCCTATAACAACGAGCGCAAGGATTTTTAGAGCTCCGTCTAATTGTCCATCTTCATTATACTATGTCAAGTGAGCAGTGCAGATTATTAAAAGAGCAATCGATAATCCTGACAAACGAGCGCATTTCTACCAAGCACGACTTTTCGATATTAGTCTTGATTAAATGAATTAAATCGGGCCTTAGAATGACCCACGCTCATTATAGCTCGATATATATAAGGTTTCAAATCGATTAAAACAGGTCGGTAATGCATATTCACGCAGAAATCTGCAGAAATAAACAGAAAGTTTCCTAATAAAACAAGGGTAAAGATGGATAATCAAAGCTCTTGGGTTAAAGTCCAAAGCTCCGCAGCTTCCATTACTTTCGCTTTCATACGTGCGATGGTCGTGCTATTTCAAAACTACGTAAAGAAGTAATGTAATGAAATTACTCCCCGATAAAGAAAACTATCAAGATCGTGCAAGGGAAACTCAACTGTATGCAGTAACATTTAGGCGACACGCAGTATTCAAACAACACAATTAAGTATTATGTCGGCATTTGAATTGAATGGTTATCGCCAGGTATACACATAACAGAGAACTTTTAGTTTCACGCCGATACATTCAATGTGTGCACTTGTGCACTTGTATCTAGTTTACGCTCTCTTTTCTGATGCTGACTGAGCAAAGTAGGCCCTACAATGTATACATCGTGTAAAGGCGAGAAACAAGCAGCAAATATCTGCTAGCACTCTCAGCGTGGCTGCCAAGCTGTAACACTAGTTGAATTAAAGCCAGGCGTGCCTCCAAGATTTGTTTGCACAGTGGTGTCATGTAGCACATATTAATATACTAAGCAGTATTGGTTTCTCATGTGCATCTGATATGAATATTGCCCGAGGCGATGTAGTGTTCGTATATAATATCTATCCGTAATTTGTTGATGCAGCCAGATGAGACCACGGTATTTTCCATACAAATCCCAACAAAATTCAGACTACAATCCTCAACCAACAAAAAATCTGCTGGAAGTCGATTGGCACTTATTTGGCACACAAAGCGTGCGCACGGGCGTTACGCCCCCCATCTCAAAATCCTGGATCCGCCACTGCATGATCCCTACCTCTTCATTTGACTCGGAGCTTTTTTTCGTATCACACGCATACAAATGAACCATATAACTTCAGATGACTATTCCACTAGCCCAAGTTCTTAGCTTGACAATGTACTGTTACCTGCCAACAGTACAGTGGCTGGAACAGTGTCACGACAGCATGCACGACCTACAAGGCTTACGTTGACGAGGCAGCTACGGTGGATCCTGCAAACAACTATGTGAAGGTCGACCTCCTGACAAGTGGCAAGATTCTTCCTCTATAGTGTGAATCCACTCAACTGAATGTCATCCATCTCACTGCACTGCAAAGCTTTTTTGTAAGTTAGAAAACAGCCAGCCGTTCATTCGTTTATTGCGATAACATTAACTAGTAATAAAATGAGGAACCAGATTAAGAAGCCTAATCTTTGCTGTATTGACTAGACATTACAGATCTTACTCACCTGTTTTTATATTTGTTATATTTGGAAGTTGAGAAAAAAGAACCATTCCTTGAATAGCTATGCACGATGACCACACATAACGTGCTTGCATTTATTATAAATCCATACTCTTTACTGGGCAAGTTGACACAATCTGATTTGATAAAGGTGAAATAAAAAACCTTCTTGTACAAGATTATGGTTTGAGGGTTATTTATAAATTTCACCAGATATTTCAAATCACAAGAGCAGTTGCCATTTTCATAAATACAGGTTGTTGTTTTGTCAAGATGTATATTAGGGCATTATCACGATAAGAACACAGTAAAACATACAACTATCTGACATGCCTGATCGTAATACATTGCTTTCTGAATACTGCTTTTAAGTTTGTTACAATTTTGTTTGTCAATGACTAATAAATATACTGATTTAGGTTCAAATTGCCATTTAAAGTACACATTTAAACTGTGACCTTGTTCAGCCTATATCCTATTAAACTTACATCGGACTTCTCGCGAATAAACTGTAAACACATTGCATTACGATATGAAACTTACAACTGCAGAATTACCTCAAGTAGTATAACGACAACATGAGATAAATTTTTGCAAATGTCTAATGGAAGTAGACAACTGTATGTGAAGACCAGTGGAAAGAACATTCAATATTAGATGTGAAAGAGAATAAACTACCAGCAACTCTTCACGGGGCCCATTGTTTTCCCTCACAAGGGGTAGAAAATTAACGTTGCCTTTGATGATTAGAAGCTCTCAATCCATCCTGGTTTTGAGTGTTCTTACAGTAACCTTGTCCTTTTCACTGCAACATACAAAATGTTAAATTATCTTAGGTGTGTAAAATACACTAATTCCCTCCATTAATGCCATAGTTAGGTTCCTGAAAACTGTGACTTTCGCTGAAACAAGGGTCGTTGTCGTATAATGGCGTATAATATGTACCCGGGGTAATATATATATACACAATTCTGGGGGCCCATTGTCGGTAACTTAGTCTTAACATAATTATAAACTTTTTCTCGTACATTAAAACTCTATACAGTGCATATTAAAAACTTGTAGCTTTACCTTGTTTCTGTCAATGCCCGGGCATTGTCAATGGCTTATAATAAACAATTTTAAGACTAATGTTACAACAAATTTTGTTTCTGATAATGGGTCCGTGGCTATTAAACAAAATCATGAGGTGGTTCATCACTAATGAGAACTTCACATACCTAAATGTCCATAAAACTATTTTTAGGAATTTCTTGTAGCCATATATGGCCCTACTAAGACCTAAAACATTAAGTCTCTTAAAAAATAATCCATCAACTGATGCAGCATATGTGTGTACTCACATAACAAAAACCTTGGCTCCCCATCCTGATACAGCATCGCGATCAACTGCATTTAGTAATGCTTGTGATATCGTCTCAAACAAATCATCTGGACTCTGAAAGAGACATGGAGACAGTGAGCATAAAGTAGACTTTACATAAAATATCTAAAATATCTTTACATAAGTGTGAATGACATGATACCTGTAGACAAAGCAGTCACGGTGTGACTGTGAAGCTGGAGGAAGTAACATACATGTATGCACATAGTTCAAATATGACACGATTGATAATGAAACTGAAATTTACATTTGACATATTACTGAAATACTGACCAAGTCTGGTGTCCACAATGTCTCACACATTCCATACATCTGTTCGGATGCTGTGCCACTCACAACAAAGTCGTCTGTGATCATAGGACAACCGATGAGGTCCAGGGAGCAGACAAATGGCTCTGCAGTGATCGGATCCAAACCCGCTATCACAGGTTCAACAAAGTATGGGCCAAACCTAGCACAAAGAAATAAGAGGTACATCTCAGGATGTGACCAGAAATATGTACATATGCATAGAAAAAAATGGGTGGCACCTTTACCCAGGTCGAATGGAATAAATACGGCACCCTTTCACATTAAATTTTTTCGAAAACTGAGACATGGTGAAGGGTGCCAATAGCAGAGACAAAATGTGTATCTACAGTATAATGCATTTTATTTTTTAGACTGTAGACTATTACATCGACATGCAAGAAACAATAAATTAGTTTACCTTCGTTCATACAGTAGATTTGAAACAACACTCATGAACGTCTTCGGTTTTATTTCTCTGTTTTCTCTCAGTGTGTACAGATTGAGACGGTACTTTAACCGTTGAGATCTGGAAGTTAAATGCCAAAATGTCTCTTCACTCAACAGATCAAGGTGTATTAAAAGATATATTGAGGCACTACACAATTTAGGCCTTACACCATATTAAAGCAAACATAAATCGAAATACCTCAACAAATATATAATGCAAAGCATATTCTTAGAACTGCATTGCAATTAACAGAGCACACCAAGTAACACCAAGCAAGATCTAAATGAACAAACACACTCTGACATAGTATGAGCCTAACACTTTCATTTCAGAGATAATTTTCCTTTGAATACTTTTATATGGAATTTCAATTTCTGGGAAGATAGACTGTAAATTGTAATCTTTGTTAACTACAATTGCAGAAAATCGTTGACAGTACTGGTACATACACTGTTTGTGTGTCCGTTGCAAGACCAGGGAGACCAACATACAATCTTTCACCCATTTTAAAAATTTTGTCGAAATCTGTGGCGACTGTCTGTGCTTGGATACCGAAGCGTCTGTCACAAGCAATGGCAACACAATTCTTCCCCTTCATTGCGATCACATCGCCACCATTATATGACAGGATACTCTGTAATAAAAAATGAATCAATAAATGTTCTAGTCACGAAAGTTCCCTTCATATTTTATCTAGATCTGTATGTTTATATTATGGAAGTTGAATGTTCAGGTTACCTGCAATGAGTAAAGGTACCTTGTCATGCAGTAACTCATGACAGGTCCAGGTTTACCACGAAACGTAAAGATTAGTCACTGAAATTTAAATCCACTGTCCTAAAATAAAATGTGCTGTTCCAATAAGCTACATACCCATAATAATCATTATCAGGAGGGGGAGGTGTAGAAAGGGTCACCATAAGAGTACAATTAGAATCACAATAAGCACACAAAGATTTCCTGATAAATGATGATTTATTCCTAGGCACACACATGGCTGGGACTAATAACTCCTATCATACGTACATAATCATTGTATAGAACAACAAACTAGTATGGCACCGACTACAACCCAACCTCTTGTACTACAAAATATATGATACAACATGGCTGCACCCGGGTGTAAATGATGCTGTGCAAGCAGTTGTTACATGTTTTGTGTTTCAGAGGGCAGAAGCGAATTATTTGGGTTTTAAAATTGCATCTGACACATAGCATGATGACATTTCAGGTGACATATTGTATACAGCTGGCAAAAGGTTAATCGCCTAGCAGTTCATTTACGGGGGATTGAGCCTATTTTGAGGACAAGCACTTATATATAGGCTTCATTCATCTCACACCATTTTCAATCATCTCGAGCACTAAATTGATGTGACCAATTATTAGCTTACGAGTAGTATTTAGCACGTCTCGTTTTATTGAGACGCATGGGAACTTATATGTAAGATGCAGTGCACCTGCTTTTGCACCTCCAGTCAGTACTGCTGATACGATGGTAGAATACTGATAAAATCTTTTAAATGTAGCAGACATGTCAAGTTGCCAAGTCTCACGCATTGAGCGCGAGACTCACGCAATTTGGTCAATTCTCACGCTCTCACGCAAAAATCAAAATCAATAAATAAATAATTAAAACCCCCTATTTTCAGTCCCAGATACCTGGGGCAGGTTTGACGAAGCGTACTTAAGTATTTAATCATGATTAAATCACTAATCATGATTAACTTTCCGTACTTAAATTAAAGTGACTGTTTCACGAAGCGTAATTAACTTTAAACATGATTAAGTTAATCACAATATTTAATTCTACTCAGGAGCATGATTAAATCCACTAATCATAATTAGTTGCTAGTACTAGAAGTTGTATGTAGGTAGTACTAGTATATTAAGTACTCTGCAGATTTTACAATTGGAAATTTTACTTCAATTTTTTTCCCAAAGAAATTTAAATTATCTAAGATTAGCTGTACTAATTTAGTCATTATAATTGCAAATTAATTCCTTTTCATGTACCGAATTTGTAGATACTTTTGGCGTTGTCCGCCATTTTGAATACAGTGTAATTCATGTTTAAGTCGGCTAATTATGTGATTAGGCCAAAACAAAATATAGGTGTGGTTACCGTTTCATGCCAAAAAATAGGGTAGGTAGGTAGGGAAAACATTTTATTTTATTGAAACATTTTATTTACGAACCATGTCCGAAGGATGCGAGTTGTGCCTTTTGAAGCAGGAACTGTCCAATTCATATTTTTTTTTTTTTACTTCAAAGAAAATTGACAATAAAATGTTTAGGGTCGCTGGGAATAAATAGGGTCGGTCAGGAAACGGTAACCACACCTATATTTTGTTTTGGCCTTAGTTAAATATGTACTTAAATCGCTTCGTGAAACAGATTTTTAAGTATGATTAACTAATCATAATTACTGGAGGTTAAGTATGATTAGTGATTTAATCATAATTAAAGTTAATCACGCTTCGTGAAACTGGCCCCAGTATACTAGTATCGGAAGGCTAAAGCCCGATCAACAGCGCCGCTCCGCGGCCGCCCAGCTAGCTAGCTCGCTCCGGCCGTATACGTATATGCTATAAGCGGCGCGGCGCGCATTTTATTTGCCTGCTTGGAATCCAATATCCCTCCTGGATGATGGCTTTGCAGGTTACTGAGGTATTTTGTTTACTTTTCAATTCTCAGCTTGCACTTTTACTAGACTAGTTTCTAGTACTAGTTCTAAAGTTTATCTAGGCTATTTTCCAATACTTCTAATCATTCAAAATGAGTAAGAACTTATATTTATAAAGGCAATAAATCATACCATAGATATGCACTAAATTGCACCATTTCAAACCTCAAATTTCGAAAAGCTCCATACCGTGGAGCACGGTACGGACATGACTTTAATTATGATTAAATCACTAATCATACTTAACCTCCAGTAATTATGATTAGTTAATCATACTTAAAAATCTGTTTCACGAAGCTATATAGTATTATTAGCTCTTGCTATGATCAATATCAATACAACTTTAGGTTAATTGTGGCTTTTCTAGTACTGCCTTGATATAAAACTGCTCGTTTTTTAATCGGGTGGTATTCTAAGAGATACTTATAACAAGACCCGCAGAGGGTCTGGGCTCATCTGAGGTCTGTTGCTACGGTTATAAACGTAACATTTAAGTCATGCGTAGTGACACCTTTGTTAGGCACAGATATGCAGATACGCAGTTGCGTACACATTTCAGCAACCTTCTGCATTCTGCATACCTCCCAAATCCCATTGGTTGATACAAATCGCATGCCTGAAACTCCTGTTTTATGGTGCATTGTGACCCTAACCCTAACCCTATCAGGGTTCTCCCCAGGATGAAATTCAAACAGGGGCGAGGGGAGGGGGGAACCTAGGGGGAAAGGGAAAACTATGGGGTCCTAAGGGCGTGTATTTTTTACAGTACCGACTAATTAATTGCGTAAAATTGCCACACACATAGACGGTATTTGGGGTTCTTGTCAATATATGAGATTAAGCCGAGGTCGTTGTAAACAGTCCCTGACAGGTTACTGTGCCATTGGTCCAGGTTTCACCGTTGATGTCTGTCCCTGCAGTGCCATGCCGTGGTAACGGTAAAAATACACCGTGCGGAATTGTCCCCCCTGGTCGAGACGGCAATTCCTTATGAACGATTCCGATTTCCCAGCGCTGGGCGAAACTTTTTTATTGTGGTGGAAATTTAAAACGGGGCGGAGGTTAAATTTAAACGGGGCGCGCGGCGCCCGTTTGCGCACGTAGGAGACCTGCCTATTTAAAAAATAAAAAATTAAATTGTTGTAAAAATTATTTGTTGTTATTAAATTGTTGTAAATAAATAATGTAAATATTTGAATTAATTGGGAAAAAAATAGTTAAATGGATAGATAGAAAAATACAGAAAACAGGTAAATAATAAAAAATCATATGGGATTCGATCAACAGACCTTTGAGCCGTGACGCCCTGTGCTGTCACGTTCGGCTATCCAGGCTTTATTGGTTTTTCTAGATTATGAATGTTCGCATGAATATGACAACACTGTGATGTCATTGAGGCAGTTCAGAATCATGTTTAACCCTGCCTTGAGGGTCAAAGGTTATCAGACACTTTACTTCTTTGCAACGTCGTGCAGGGCTCGACTTTAGACGGTGGCCCGGGTTTGGCCAAATGCCCAGACCTGAAACGGGTCCGGGCCACGCTGACTGTTCCGGTTTTTGGTGGCGCCGCCTGGCACCAATAAAATAAAGGCCGTGGGCTAACGCCGCAGACGAGGAGCCGCTAGTTTCGCGGGGTCTGGACATCCATCTCACACAGAGATCTTGCGACACGTACACGCATGATTGCGCAAGGGGACGCTCTGCTGATTGCCGTGTGTGTGTGTGTGACGTGTGTGTGCGTGTGCGTCTGCGCGTGTGCGCGTGTACGTGTGTGTGTGTGTGTGTGCGTGTGCCCGTGCGTGTGCGCGTGTGTGTGCGCGTGTGCCCGTGCGCGTGTGTGTGTGTGTACGTGTGGTTTACTGGAAGCAGATTCTGAGAATGTGAATCACAACAAGAAACAATGCTTAACTTGGCCTAAATCAAAACAGTAGTGCACGTGCAATCTATTCGCTACTCATCAAATGTGTGGGTTCTTTGCACAATTCATTTCGCCACGAGTTCAAGACAAGTGCGTACATACCAGAGTGTTGTTTCATCTTTGATTTTGATTACGATATGATTTGATTTTATGATTAGACTCTGATGGGTCTGACCCCATGTCAGAAATTGATTCTGATTCATCAGAAGGTTCAGATGACAGTCACACTGACATTGAATGATTGAAGGACAGTTTTGATTGACATCTTAATGACATGAGTTCTGCTACTTAATAAAGATACTGCCAGAGAATTTGAAAGCTTTTTAATATTTGGGAACTTATTTAACTCAGTCAGGGTTTTGTTCTTTCTTTGTTGTTGTCGTAATCTAGCTATGTTATTGCGATTATTTGCCAAAACACATTACCCATAGTTAGGATACAAATAAATTATTTAATAAATGTAGCGACCGGGCCACCTGGAAATCCATTTGGCCACCTGAATCTCATACTCAAGTGGCCCGGCCGGCCACCTGAAAAAAAAGTTAAGGGCAACCCCTGCAGTGGAAAGCACATTTCATGGTCCTTTCAATAAAGTGATAAAAATGGTAGGTCAGCGCTGAAACAAAAAAGTTTTCCACTCTGTCCATTAGGCCATGTCCTCAGAAAATGTCTGATATCTGACCTTTACCCCACTGCCCTTTGACCTGTGACCTCCAATTTCGCACTGGTGATGGGTTTCCTGCCCATCACACTATACACCGAATATTAAAAGCGTAGGTCAAGCCGTTAAGATTTGTGCCGCAATTCCGTATTTCCTCCTATACCTTAAGTTAAGGGAGAAATATTCCCCTTCCGTTTACACATCTTGAGCCCCAAATTTGTCCTCCCGAGTCGTTTTCACGACCCCCCCGATGTCCCGAATATCGTGACCGTACGTCGAGCAGTTAATATTTGTGCCCAACTGTTGACGGACGCACGGACTCACGGACGCACGGACAATCATGCGATTCTACAAGCTGCATCTGACTAC